CTTATAGTCAGTGATGTTATAACAAACAGAAGAATATTTAAGCCCTATATGACTAAAAATCAAGAGCAGACTACACAACATTGGAGGCGAAACTACCTTTACTTCATCATCTACCAGAGATCATAACAGATTACGCCCACATTACCTACAATAAAAGATACATTTAATTTGGAAGCATGAACGGTATCACACCATACAACTAATTGGTTTCTAAAGACCTTTTTAACTAAACCAAAGCAAGTTAGTCATGAATAGACCTGATTACTGAAAGTTAGATATACATTGATACAAACAGAACTGATCAAATGGATAAAGAAGGAATCTGTTATTTTTTATAAACTTCTTCATGATAGAAATAATAAACTATGTGCTACGCCAACCTTCGAAGTTTTAGTAAAACTGTAAAATGTCAGAGATGCAATATTTAAAACGAATAAACGTGCTTGAACCATGAGACCAGACTCTTCGAGAGTTTACTGTCAAATATATCTTCAAAAGGAAACCGTAATAAGGAACATCACACTAAAGCATCTTCAACTTACTTTAAACCATCATAAAATTTCAAAATCATGGTTGATATAGATAATCAGCCTGCAAGAGAGCATTCTTTTATAAAAGGGAGTAATCAATGACAGATTGCACATTAACAATTAATTAACATTCTCTTTTATGTTACGCTATAGCTCTAACATAAGACTCGTCTACAAAGCCAACAAAAGACCTAACTAAAGAGCCGGAAAAACCTAGAATCAACAGACCATCATGTTCACATGTCTCTAAAAGACAACAATGAAATAGCAAACTTGACATGATTGTCCAAAAGCTCAAACAATGCCAGAAAAAAACAAAGACATGACTCACGAAACATCAGTCTTTCGTTGATTACCTTATGGTAGTGGGACGCATTAAGGTCCCTTCCTTCTTGATCTTCCCAACGCGAACCGAAACCAAAGGTATGCAAAAACATCTAGCCAACATACCAATTTCAGCCGGCTCGAAATGCTATTCAATAAAACAACAAGAAATCAGATTAGAATCCAAAAACTCATAATCATATTCGACAAAACTCGAGAGAGATCAATTTGATTCAAACCTGGCTAAGATGCGCAAGCAATCGATCTTCAGCCATACCGTTAGATACGTTAAGCTTCAACAAAGGTTTCAATCTCTCATCACCTCTACAAGCTCCCATAACTTGCATATCCAAAGCTTGTAACCACCTCAAAACCCTATCCTCTCCAAGCAAAAAGTCTCCGTCAGTCAACGGATCTGAAATCCGACTCTCGTTCCTCGTCGATTCATTATCGCTTTCGGATCCGTTAGATCGAGAATCCGACACATCATCCTCGCCGCCGTGATCGTCTCCGGCATCATCATCTCGTCTCCTAGAATCGGCCATATTCAAATATCGGATTCGGTAACTAATCCAGAAATTTTGCAAGAACAAAAACCCTAGAGAGAAACGATCAATGGTTCAAAGAATCAAATCCAACCACGGATTTTTTTGTTTTTCTTTCTCAATGCAAAATAGATTCAGGGCTTGTTAAAATTGATGAGAGAGACGGTGAGTTGTTGAATAATATATGGTTCGAGAGAGAGAGAGAGAAAAATATCTAAGAACAAACAAAAAATTTGAACAAATGCAATTTTTTGATTCCCCTTCGTGTAGCGGAAGATTGGAAAGAGAGAAACCATAAACAGGCGTCTGTGTGTAATGTG